TTCTATGTCACCGTGGCGCTTGAGAAAAAATTGGATCATTATTATGGATCAATGTGCTTTATTTCAAATTTCTTTTCTGCATCTATATGAGGAGTCAAATGAAATTGCGGATGATATTGCAAAACGAGGAGTTAAGCTACTGTCTCTTGTTTCTCATGTACTCAGTTCTTGAGTTGCACTCTTTTAATGTTCTTGACGTACTCATCTTTTAACGCTATAAATCTTCAGTGATTAATAAAAGTAAGCGATTTTGTAAAAAAAGAAAAAAAAAGTATTTTAAATTTAAATTTTAATTTTTATATTCTATGATCACCTTGACATAACATAACGAAGGAAAAAGTTTATATAAGGATGCTACCTCATAGTGTAGAACTACGGATGCCCCTCAAAAATCCATCGGAAAAGATAGTTTTAATGTTGAAAAACCCTTTGATTGATTATCTCGACATCGAGATGTACGTCTATGAAAAATAAAAAAGATTTAAAGTCTAAAAAATAGTGTATTTTACAACATATTATCTACACCGTCCATTTTCAAGATTTTCATATGTTTATAGACCTACTTGATTTTAACCATTTTTAAAATTTAAAATTTTATAATTAAACATAAAATTATTTTACATCAAAATTACGTACCACGATAAAATCTAGGTGCACCTTACCTGTACACACCTACGGATGCACATGCAAGCTGCACCCCAGCTAACTAATGGAGGCCTCCCTTCATAAATGTCCCTTAAATAACCAGAAACGATGGGTCCTTCGGTCTTTTGTAGCAGTTTAAATAGTAGGTGACCCCAGTAACCATTCTTTACACCATGGAAACCAGCAGCCATCGTCCCGAAGAGAGTCCATACGTCCCCATGGATGCACGCATGAAGCAGCAGCACCGCTTTAAAGAAGCAACGCCCGAGGCCACAAGCTCAAGCCCAAGCCCAAGCCCAAGCCCATACCCAAGCCCAAGCCCAAGCCCAAGCCCAAAGCGAGCCTCCAATTTCTCCCTGGTGATGTCGCCCTGTAGCTCGCCCGAGTCACCTTGGTCCCTCTCACCATTGCACCGCCACCCCGCACCACCACACCTCCTCTTTCGCTGTGTGGCCACACTTAGCGCCAAAGACGGCAACGTGTTGGCCATTGCAGTGGCCAAAGGCGCCGTTTTCACTGGGTCGGAGAGCAAGCGAGTCAGGGTCTGGCAGCACCCAGATTGTCTCGAGAGGGGCAGCCTCAGGTCGAGCTCTGGCGGTGTTAGGTCGATCCATGCAGTTGGAGACAGGGTCTTCACCGCCCATGATGACTGTAGGATTCGGGTGTGGCGTGTGCCGAAGCCGAATCTCCCGTTCCGTCAGGAGAGGCTGGCGACCCTGCCAACGACATCGTTCTTTCCCCGCCTCCGCCCCCACAACCTTCACCGAGCCCCCATCACGAGCTTGGCGTACCACCAAGCTGAAGGCCTTCTATATTCAGGTTCGGTCGACTGTACGGTGCGGTCGTGGTGTGCAGCGGATGCGCGGTGCATCGACTGCATCGCTGCACATGACGATGCAGTAACTGCAGTGGCTTTGAACCCGGAGGACGGGACTTTGTTTACTGCTTCTTCAGATGGCACAATCAAGCTCTGGAAGCGAGTGTGGGGTCAGAGCGCACACACTCTAACCATGACTCTGCGTTTCCAAGCTTCACCAGTGAACGCACTAGCGCTCGCGCCCCGGGGGCGGTTCCTGTACTCGGGCTCATCAGATGGGTTTGTGAATTTTTGGGAGAAGGAGGGGACCTCCTGTCGGTACAATCACGGCGGGCTTTTACAGGGCCACAGGTTTGCAGTGCTCTGTCTCGCATGTGCAGAGAGGATCGTGGTGAGTGGGTCAGAGGACGCAACTATTAGGGTTTGGAGGAGGGAGGGGGGAAGCTTGCATGAATGCTTGGCGGTGCTTGAGGGACACAGGGGTCCGGTGGGGTGCGTGGCTGCGTGGTTGGAGGCCGAGGGAGGGGCGGTGGGCGTGGTTGTGTATAGTGGGAGTTTGGATAGGACTGTGAAGGTGTGGAGGTTGAGTATTGTGAATGGAGGAGGAGAGATGAAGGTTGAGGGAGAGGAGCGAGTGGTGGAGTTTGAGACCAGCCCTGTGCTATCGCCTTCATGGGTGGAGAAGAAGTTACAGGCGGCGTACATGCAGTAGTTGGGAGGATTAATATTAAACATACTCCACCTCCTCACTTGATCTCTCTTTCAATAAAAATGGTGATCTCTCTCTGTAAGGGTTCATTTTCGAAACCTTTCTTTGTCTTAAATACCTCTCTCTCTCTCTCCTCTCTCTCTTGTTTTTGGAGGTTTAGGTCTCTCTCTCATCATGGGTTTCTCAGGATTCACACTAGACTTCTCTCTCTCTCTCTTATCAGTCATTTGGAGTTCTCAAACTGAGATTATAGCTTGAACTGGTGCGGTTCGGATGGTGTCTTTGAGATTTTGATAAATAGTAGAGTTACGGAGCTTCTTTTTTTTTTTAAAAAAAAAGAAATGTTTCATTTATAGACAGAAATTACGTCATCCTATAAGTTTTGTATTTTTTTTTCAAAATTGTCTCTTGGTAGGACGATAGAATTGTCAATCCGAATTTAATTTAATTATTATTATTATTATTATTATTATTTTTCAGTAGGACGATGCTCCAAGCTTTAAGGCAGTGCCCTACAAAAAAAGCTAAAAAAAATAAAAAATAAAATTTGGTCTGAAAATATCTTCGAACCAAATGATAATTTTAGAAAAAAAAAATTGACCCATTTTTTTTGGATTTTCAACCGAAGCATTTCGTATTTAAAAAAACTCTTTAAAGGGCCGTACGAAGATCCCTCTAAATTGAATTGAGCATGGGAGAATTCAAGTTTGGGTGTTAGCTTGTACGATATATGCTTTTAACTCTATTTATGCAACTCCCTTTAACGTGGTATTAATTCATGGGTACGGATTAGAGCGTAACTTCAAATAGTATCGTAGAATATGGTTTCAATATTGAAAATCTTTGTAATAGCCTTAACATATATTTTCATATTTATTTATAAATTTTAAAGCTTAAAAAATAGTATAGATCGATAAATTTATCAAAACTTGAAATCTTGAAAATTGACGATCCAAAAATACCTTACAAAATACACTATTTCAAAAACTTGAAATCTATTTTTTCTCATGTCTATACATCTTGATGTCGAGATGACCGATTTGAAGATATTTGAGCATTAAAACAGCTTTTTTTAATGAAATTTTTGAAATAGACTCGAATTTGATTGTTTAGAACTCGACTCGATATAAACTTTTGCCCTTTATGGTCATAGCATTGAAGTTTCTACACTCTGAGTAGGACTTTTGAAGACAGTAGTGAAGGTGACAGTGGTGTGCAACATTTAACTTTTTCACGCACTTCGTATTAACAAAGTGAATTGAAATGGGGCTGGGTCGTGGTCAGAGTACCATAAGAGCCCCTTGTGAATAAGATCTTAACTATCGGTCTCACGCATTCAAACATTAATTATTTTAAAAAATGGGTAGGTACTCATCTACCCTACTCATTTATAGGTAGAAATTACAAAGAATGTGATCAATATATATTTATTTTTGAAAATTATCCCTAAGGCTGAAGACATCTTCGAACCGAACTTTAATTTTTTTTAAAGGGTTTTTGGTTAGTAGAGAGCACTACTCTAAAGCTTGGGGCACTGCCATACTAATGAAAAATAATAATTTAAATTCGGATAGAGTATTCTATCTTCAAATTGAAGGGTAATTTTGGAAAAAAAAGAAGTAGTTGACTGATCTTTTTTGTAATTTCTACCTATAAATAAAAAAAAATTTTATTTTAGAAAAAAAAATAGGGTATGTATGTAAATCACTCAAAAAAAAGGTAAACAAAGTTGAATTTAGTCCTACGTAAGATGGACACCGTGCGTCTCTTTCTTCTTCTTCTTATTATTTATTTATTTATTTATTTATATGTTGGCATACCAAGGACACCATACAATATTACCTAAAATTCTACATTGTCTTTGTATGGGGTGTGGTTTGTATAGAGCCGAGGCTCTAAACAATAAAATTAGAGCCCATCTTCAAATAGTGTTGAGAAATATGTTTTTAATACTAGAAAGTTTTGTGATAGCTTTAAATTATATTTTTATCCTTAGTTATAAAATTTAAAACTTAAAAATAATGTAGATCGAGCAGATATATGAAAAATTGAAAATCTTGAAAATTGACGGTCCAAAAATGTGTTATAAAATGTACTATTTCCAAAATTTGAAATCTATTTTTTTTCTCATGTCCATGCATCTTGATGTCGAGATGATCAATTTGATTATATTTGGGCATCAAAACAATTGAAGTAGGCTCTATATAAACTTTTCCCTTTTATATGTATTGTCTGGAAAACTAAGTTTATAATTGGTCTATCTTACCCTCCTAGCTATGTGAAACATTGACACCCATGTTACTTAGATAGCTAGACCCAATGATTTTGGTTGGTGTCACATGTTGACACACCTTGATGCGTTCTGATACTCGTGTCTGGCCATTGACAGCTTCCTTTTTTCCATTGATACTTGTTAGATGTTACTATGAATGATACACGTGGTATATTATCCAAAATTTATTAATATTAGGAACCAAGAGAACAACTATTTTGAAAAATAAAATTATTGGGGCTGTAATTTCCAAATTTTGATACGAAATAACTTATATTTTGCTTTTTATTATTTTCATAACTTCTTTAGTGTTTTTTGGATTTCTATATCAAATAATAGAGCATGTATATTGGGAGCATAATTTACTTCTACTCTCTTGGCCAAAAGGCCTATTTCAAGTACATGTTCTATTTTTAATTTGGGAGGATTTTTTCAATATGAAATTTTGGAAACCACTTAAGAATTACTAGATGATTATTTAAAAAATTAAATTTGATTTTTTTAACACTTAGACTCATCATCTAAAAATTGGATGGTCTATATTCAATCCCAAGATATTATTATTTTTCAATTGCATAGAGGGTAGAATTATGAATTATTTTTTTATATTAAGGGTAATTTATGGATTGTAGAGGTTACATCCCCAAAAATTTGGAATCCTGAAATTAATTTTAGAGAAATTTATGTATGGACCCTAAATAAAATGCGAAAATATGATATGCTCTTTATATACCCGAAAATTACCAATAAGATCGATCAACCGATTTTTTTTTTTTTTCCTTCAAAATTGCCCCTTGGACTCAATTTTGATTTTAATTTAATTTTTTTTTTAGTATGTGCTGCCCCTAGTTTTAGAGGCATTGCCCAAGCGGTCAGAGGTTTGAATCCTCAGACCGATATTCTCCTTTAGATAGAAAAAAATTACGGTCCAAAAATTGAAACCTTAGGCCAATCTTCTTATTTAGTTATGGGAAAAACTGCACTATGAGAATTGTAACCTCCGGCCCCTTGTTATTATTTGAAAAAAAGTCAGGTCCGCGGATTTTAACCTCAGACTACTCTCTGATCACATTTAAATGGCAAAACCCTATTGTGTTTTCATTTTATCTCTCTCAAACCTATTTTGATACAATATATGTTTATTTCTCCACCACTTTCTCTCTCTAAAACGAAACTGAAATCAGGCAAAACGTTATCAATGCTTTCCTCCACTAAATGAATTTTTAAAAAAAAGAAACAAGAGTTGTATCCAATTGCAGGCTGTCCACCTAGTTGCAATTTAGTGAACTTCAACGTGGTCCGAGAATGCTATCATCGGATCACTTTAAATTAATCTGCGAACTTGGTATCCGTCCGAAAATGCTATTCTCGGACTGACTTGAACATGAAGTGGGGCGGTCTAATATTCTCATCCTCGAACTGATATTTTTCTTGGCAAAACCAGAACAGTCCGATGATTCAAACCTCGGACCACCTGTGGCACTACTCCTAAACCTGACTACCCCTAAAACTTGGGTAGTGCCCTGATAAAGAAATAGCTAACAAAAAAAATAAAAAAGCAGTCGATAGGCAAATTTAGATAAAAAAGAAGATATAAGTTGATCGACTTTCTTTGTAATTTTCAAATATAAAAAAAGTAAATTGTATTTTAATATTTATTTTGGAGGCCGTATGTAAATCACTTTAAAGTTTAGATGGAGTTTTACCCAATGGAGTAAATCAACATTATACTCCTTAGGGAATATAATATCTTTTGACAAATAATATATTATATATATATCACAGTCATTGAGTATACAGGTAGGGATGTGACCTTGCTTTACGGACTTTTTGTGTGTGAATAGTACATCGTACTAAATATGGTGCTCGTCGACCTTTCATATATCACTACCTGGCACACGTTTCAAAAAAAAGTAAGACAGTGTACTCGTGTTCACCGCTATAAATTTTTATGTACGCCGCTATAAATTTATGTACCATGTGTTTGGCCAGGGAATTTTTAGTATGTTTGTGATAGTTCAATAGCGCATACCGTTCGATTTTTTTGGACGGTGATGAGCTTATAGACAAAAACGTTCTTCATTTGCGCCTATAATCAATGCGTAGTGTCTCCCTTTTCATAATATTTATTTTGTTTATTTTAGTTCATGTTTTTTAACATACGTAAATAAATTAAGAGATTATTTATTTTATTATTTTATCCAAAGTAAATGAAATAGGATCACCCTTGTATAGAGCTTCAACTACTTATAATTTAAGGAATCCTATTTAAGATGAGGTTAATATTTTTTTATTTTTTTTTCAAAGATAGAAGAGAAGATTGCGTGTTCGATTCACGTCCAGTGAATACCCCGATCCAATTCCTCACTATCTAAATAAATTTTTGAGTGATTTACGTATGGACGTTAAAATTGTAGGTAAAGTATAAAATGCTCCACTTTAAAGTTTCAGACAGGCCCTACTAATGAAAAAACTAAAAGAACCTAAAAAAAATTAAAATTCAGGTTGACAGAGGGGTAATTTTGAAAAAAATAAAAAAAAACCGATTGACCAACATTCATTGTAATTTTTTCACATAAACGAAACTTTTTGTATTTTACCTAAAATTTTAGGATTCGTAAGTATAATAACTCTACATTTTTATGGGTGTGGTTTGTATAGAGCAGAGGTTCTACACAATCAAAGTAAAGCACACCTTCAAATAATGTGAGAAATATGTTTTCAATATTGGAAATCTTTGTGATAACCTTAAAATATATTTTTATTTTTTGGTTATAAAATTTAAAGCTTAAAAGTAGATCTATGAAAATTGGAAAATCTTTAAAATGGACTGTCCAAAAATACGTTACAAGATGCACTATTTCCAAAGCTTGAAATCCATTTTTTTTCACGTCTATGCATCTTGATGTCGAGATAATCAAATTGAGGATATTAGGCATCAAAATAACATCTTCTAGTGAAAATTTTGAGGTGGGTTCGAATTTGATTGTTTAGAGTCGTGGCTCTATATAAACTTTTTCCAATTTTTATTTACCC